GGCATAAGACCTATAACAATATGCCGTGGCCTGTTGAAAACGAAAAATTAACGATTATGTACTGAAATTCGAAATGATGTCCAGTAGGCATCTTTAGCCTGGGGTATCAGTGATGCCGTTTTGCATGTGGATACCTAAGAAGATGCCCAGTTGTGGTATAGGTGTGAAAAAGCGGCATAAGAACTATTATGTTAGGTACATTTGAATATCAAACTAGCCCAATATTGCGCCAGCCCAACATTGGTCCAGTCCAATATTGGGCTAGCCCAATATTGAATAAGTAACCAACTTCACGCTGGTATCAATACGTGGAGCTGAAGCCCTCGTGCAACCCATCAATACTCGGAGCTGAAGCCCTCGTGCAACCCATCAATAAGTGGAGCTGAAGCCCTCGTGCAACCCATCAATACGTGCAATGCGCCGGTGCAATAGGCGACGTCCGAAGTATGGTCTATTTATCATACCGAAATTTGTCATGGTTACAGTGTTTCTATCGGGAATCAGCAGTAAAATGACTACCACATCACAAGTTATCCAAGAATATGTCCTGAGATTTGAAATTATAATAACTTACATAGCACAAATCATCCAGGTTACAAAAGATCTCTGGCGGTTCGATGTACATCAGGAAACCTTCTACTTGAACTTTCTTCAACGGTTCCAAGAAACACTGCAAGTGAGAAGATGATACTGAGTGTATACAAAGTACTTAATAAAAGATAATATTTTGACATTTATATCTACACCATTAATAATCTTCTCACTTAAGTCTTCCATTAACAATAACGTAATAATAACAATACTTGTATAACCTTGATATCACCATTTACGTTCATATAAAACCATAAACATTTTATGATTTCGATCTTAGTTCAGTATTTTGATAAACAATTAATAATCTTAGTAATCTTTTAGATTAAATCATGATAATAATATTACGTTTAAATCACTATAAAGAAAACTTTACACTTTTGTCTCACCGTGCTTATATTAAGAAAAAACATTTATAGTCTTATATCTTTAGTCTCACAATTAATACTAAGTTAAAACCATTTATAGTCTTATATCATTAGCCTCACAATTAATATTAAGATAAAACCATTGATACACTAATCACATTTAACGCTTCGATCAAAATATCTACACGTTCAGCTCGCCTTAACATTCAAAATACACCAATATATAGTATATTTCTCAATTTATACGTTGATTACACAAATTGAAAGCTGATTACACATTTTTAGACTTTGGTTTTGCTTTTAGACTTTGGTTTTACTTTTAGACTTTGGTTTTACTTTTAGACTTTGGTTTTACTTTAGACTTTGGTTTTACTTTTAAGACTCTTTGTTGATAACATTATAACTTAGATCAAACCGTCAAGTCTCTGATTAGATCATCAACATCATATATATGTGTTTGTTTATAATGCAATTTCCTTATTGTTATAATAATGAAGTTTTATCATTAATATAACACCAAATTATGTATAATCCGTGTAGATTTTACTGTGATACTGATGGCCGCTGTGTGCTACTTTACTGTGATACTGATGGTCTCTGTGTGCTACTCTACTGTGATATTGATGGCCGCTGTGTGCTACTTTACTGTGATACTGATGGCCGCTGTGTGCTTCTTTACTGTGATACTGATGGCCGCTGTGTGCTACTTTACTGTGATGCTGAAGGCCGCTGTGTGCTACTTTACTGTGATACTGATGGCCGCTGTGTGATACTTTACTGTGATACTGACGGCCGCTGTGGGCTACTTTACTCTGATACTGAAGGCCACTGTGTGCTACTTTACTGTGATACTGATGGCCGCTGTGGGCTACTTTACTGTGATACTGATGGCCGCTGTGTGCTACTTTACTGTGATACTGATGGCCGCTGTGGCTACTGCTTTCAGTTGTTTTAAAGATAACAAATATATTTAGCAATAACACAGCTGTCGATGTTGATAACTGCCAAGTACAGCTGTCATGTTTAGGAACTGATATATTTTAACTATTCCGATGGAATTTAATACGTCACATATAAATCTGATTTATCCTGTGAAGGCATCTCAATTCGATATTAACGAAAGGTTCCTACTTTCCCACTGTGCACTTTTGACACCCGATGTAGCGCCAGGAAACTATCGGTGATGTTGTTACAGATGACTACCATCAACAAATTCGTTTAAAGAGCTAGTAGTGGGGAATGTTGGGAGAGGAATACGGTGAACGCGGTGCAGTATCGATTGATTGCAACCTGGAAGTGACAGAAACACGAGTCTTACATGTTTTAGCGCCATCAGATGGTCTATCAGGAAAACACACTCGCTGGTAAACAGTTCCCAAACTGCTTCGCGCCGCTTCCGTTCACTCTCGGGTACATTTACAGGTTGTCTTTCCTTATCGGAACTGACTATAAGGTCCGACCAGTGGCAATTCTGTAAATACACAAAAATGTTTAACAAATAAATTGTACGACGTCATGTTACAAAAACAAACAAAAAATGAAAAAGAAACTGTATACTGTACGTAAGGCTTTACAATTAATATTGTATGGATATATTACAAAACTTGTTAATAGGACATCATAATTGAGCATACAAATATTATCTCTTTAATATATACCTGCCTGTATATATCAGAAGAGGGTTAGCTAATTTCTTTCGTGGTACGTTTATAACGCCAGTGTCGTAATCACTGAAGGTGCAGCTATCTGCACCAATAACACTCAGCCGTTTACCAGGTGTACATCCTGCAGCTAGAGCTCTGAGTGGTCTACCAGTTTATACATTGTGTTACTGATGACGGACAGGGTACACTCCGGATATTTATACCAACATCAAAGTTCCTGATTGATTGTGAGCTGTCCACGGGATATCAGTGTCAAACTGTTAAAGCAGCTGATCAAAAGGAAAGCCTAACGGAAGCCATTTATTGCACGATTTTGTGTAAATGTAAATTCCTCCATTACTTCACCTCAAAGGATTGACGTCATTAATTTCAGTGATATACACCGAGATAGATTAAAATAGAGACAAGGTTTCACAGCAAGATGATGCAGATGAAGTGCATGTTTCGCGCAATGACATAAGGCATCCGTGAAATCTAGCCCTTACAGAGCAGTACACCTACCATGTCCTGTTGTCAAAGAGATTCCACAGGTTAATAACACTGTTTGTCGCTGAACTTTACATATCGAGATCATTACAAATTGTGTTATTGTTATTATTTCAAGAAATTGTCACAACATTACCTGATGTCTACGTAGGATATTGAAATGTCGACCAAAAACATACTATAATTTGTACTCACAAGCACATCTCAATTAACATAAATAACATACTATACAATATCATCAACACACACGGCTACTTTATACATGTAGCACAACATATTAAATCGTCGAAATACACAAATACGTGATACCACAGCATTTAACACCGTCAATACACACACATATGTTATACTACACAATATCACAACGTCAATACAAACGGATACATTATACCACATCAAACCACACTGTCAATACAAACGGTAACATTAAACCACATCATATCATAATGTCAATACAAACGGTAACATTAAACCACATCTTATCACACAGTCAATATAAACGGATACATTATACTACATCACATCACACAGTCAATACAAACGGTAACATTAAACCACATCATATCATAATGTCAATACAAACGGTCACATTAAACCACATCATATCACACAGTCAATACAAACGGATACATTATACCACATCATACCACACTGTCAATACAAACGGTAACATTAAACCACATCAAATTATATTGTCAATACAAACGGTAACATTAAACCACATCATATCATACCGTCAATACAAACGGTAAAAAATTAAACCACATCACATCACACTGTCAATACAAACGGTAACATTAAATTGCATCATATCATACTGTCAATACAAACGGTAACATTAAACCACATCATATCATAATGTCAATACAAACGGTAACATTAAACCACATCTTATCACACAGTCAATATAAATGGTAACATTAAACCACATCATATCATAATGTCAATACAAACGGCAACATTAAACCACATCATATCATACCGTCAATACAAACGGTAAAAAATTAAACCACATCACATCACACAGTCAATACAAACGGTAACATTAAATTGCATCATATCATACTGTCAATACAAACGGTACCATTAAACCACATCATATCATAATGTCAATACAAACGGTAACATTAAACCACATCTTATCACACTGTCAATATAAATGGTAACATTAAACCACATCATATCATAATGTCAATACAAACGGTAACATTAAACCACATCATATCATACCGTCAATTACAAACGGTAAAAAATTAAACCACATCACATCACACTGTCAATACAAACGGTAACATTAAATTGCATCATATCACACTGTCAATACAAACGGTAACATTAAACCACATCATATCATACTGTCAATACAAACGGCAACATTAAACCACATCATATCATACTGGCAATACAAACGGTAACATTAAACCACATCATATCATACTGTCAATACAAACGATAACATTAAATCACATCATATCATACTGTCAAAACAAAGGGTAACATTAAATCACACCATATCATACTGTCAATACACACGGTAACATTAAACCACATCATATTATATTGTCAAAATAAACGGATACATTAAACAACATCATATCACAATGTCAATAGAAACGGTAACCTTAAACCACATCATATCATACTGTCAATACAAACGGTAACATTAAACCACATCATATCATACTGTCAATATAAACGGTAACATTACACCACATCATACCACTCTGTCAATACAAACGGTAACATTAAACCACATCATATCATAGTGTCAATACAAACGATAACATTAAACCACATTAACCACACTGTCAATATAAACGGTAACTTTACACCACATCATATCACACCGTCAATAAAAACGGTAACATTACACCACATCATATCATACTGTCGATACAAACGGTAACAACATCATACCATACTGTCAATACAAACGGTAACAGTAAACAACATCATAATTGATGCCCTCAATAAAAACGGTAAAAATAAACCCCATCATACCACACTGTAAATATAAACGGTAATATTACACCGCATCATATCACACCGTCAATACAAACGGTAACATTAAACAACATCATAATTGATGCCCTCAATAAAAACGGTAAAAATAAACCACATCATACCACACTGTAAATATAAACGGTAATATTACACCGCATCATATCACACCGTCAATACAAACGGTAACATTAAACCACATCATAACTGATACTGTCAATAAAAACGGTAACATTAAACCACATCATACCACACTGTCAATATAAACGGTAATATTACACCGCATCATATCACCCCGTCAATACAAACGGTAACATTAAACCACATCATACCACACTGTCAATATAAACGGTAATATTACACCGCATCATATCACCCCGTCAATACAAACGGTAACATTAAACCACATCTTATCACACAGTCAATATAAACGGATACATTATACTACATCACATCACACAGTCAATACAAACGGTAACATTAAACCACATCATAACTGATACTGTCAATAAAAACGGTAACATTAAACCACATCACACCACACTGTCAATATAAACGGTAATATTACACATACCGTCAATTACAAACGGTAAAAAATTAAACCACATCACATCACACTGTCAATACAAACGGTAACATTAAAAAACATCATGTCATACTGTCAATACAAACGGTAACATTAACCCACATCATATCCACATCATATCATAATGTCAATACAAACGGTAACATTAAAACACATCTTATCACACAGTCAATATAAACGGATACATTATACTACATCACATCACACAGTCAATACAAACGGTAACATTAAACCACATCGTACCACACTGTCAATATAAACGGTAATATTACACCAAATCATATCACACCGTCAATACAAACCGTTACATTACACCACATCATATCACACTGTCAATACAAACGGTAAAATTAAACCACACTATATCATACTGTCAAAACAAACGGTAACATCAAACAACATCATATCATGCTGTCAACACAAACGGTAACATTAAACCACATCATAACTGATACTGTCAATAAAAACTGTAACATTAAACCACATCATACCACACTGTCAATATAAACGGTAATATTACACATACCGTCAATTACAAACGGTAAAAAATTAAACCACATCACATCACACTGTCAATACAAACGGTAACATTAAAAAACATCATGTCATACTGTCAATACAAACGGTAACATTAAAATACATCATATCACACTGTCAATACAAACGGTAACATTACACCACATCATATCATACTGTCGATACAAACGGTAACATTAAACCACATCGTACCACACTGTCAATATAAACGGTAATATTACACCAAATCATATCACACCGTCAATACAAACGGTAACATTACATCACATCATATCATACTGTCGATACAAACGGTAACATTAAAACACATCTTATCACACAGTCAATATAAACGGATACATTATACTACATCACATCACACAGTCAATACAAACGGTAACATTAAACCACATCTTATCACACAGTCAATATAAACGGATACATTATACTACATCACATCACACAGTCAATACAAACGGTAACATTAAACCACATCATAACTGATACTGTCAATAAAAACTGTAACATTAAACCACATCATACCACACTGTCAATATAAACGGTAATATTACACCACATCATATCATAGTGCCAATACAAACGGTAACATTAAACAACATAATATCATACTGTCGATACAAACGGTAACATTAAAACACATCATATCATACCGTCAATACAAACGGTAAAAAATTAAACCACATCACATCACACTGTCAATACAAACGGTAACATTACACCATATCATATCATACTGTCAATACAAACGGTAAAATTAAACCACATTATATCATACTGTCAGTACAAACGGTAAAATTAAACCACATCATTTCATACTGTCAATACAAACAGTAACATTACACTACATCATATCACACCGTCAATACATAACATTAAACCACATCTTATCACACAGTAAATATAAACGGATACATTATACTACATCACATCACACAGTCAATACAAACGGTAACATTAAACCACATCATAACTGATACTGTCAATAAAAACTGTAACATTAAACCACATCATACCACACTGTCAATATAAACGGTAATATTACACCACATCATATCACACTGTCAATACAAACGGTAAAATTAAACCACACTATATCATACTGTCAAAACAAACGGTAACATTAAACCACATCATAACTGATACTGTCAATAAAAACTGTAACATTAAACCACATCATACCACACTGTCAATATAAAC